TATACCGAAGAGACTCCGAGGCGCCTTGCGACAAGCGTTCAGAATCCTGAAGTGTAGTGTAGTGTGAGTGGACACAATGGACTACTTTAAAATTCCAAGGAAGGGCGTTTAGGCGTGAAAGCAGGTGGAGCATTTTCACCCAAAGGGTAGTGACAGTCTGCCACAAGACACTCCGCCATGCTGTCAGAGTGAATCCCCAGGACCTCCAAGCAACAGCTGGAGCGATTAGCTACCAGCAACTAAATACTGTACCTGCAGTGTGCTGGAGGGCTCTTCTCTTCTGCAGACTTTATATTCTTACTGTATGTTGGGCACGGTGAAACACTGATTTTAATTAAAGCTCTTCAGCCTGCTCAGCGGCTCTTAACAGTGGTTCCTACCATCTTCATTTGCTTGTACAGTTGTGTTGCATCTCAGAAAAAAGTTCCCAAAGGAACTTTACTTTGATTAATGGATAATTAAGTTCTATTATGAACTCCATTTTTGCCAGCTAAGGTTCCATAAGGAACTCTTTGCAAAATACAATTTTGCAATGGACCACTTTAATAGATAAAGTTCATATTTGAACCCTAAAGGTTCGACTCCTTTAAGAGTGTATGCTTTTGAGGGGACCGTGAGGACTGCGTACAGGACAGGCTGCCGTTGGGGCACCCCGCCCCCTCACTTCCACTGTGTTAACAGAAAGAAGGGGAGAGGACAGACACTGATCTCAGCGCATGAGCCTGCGATGAGCACTCCGATCAGGTACTGCCTTCCTGTGGTGAGGCTGTCCTCACTCTAAACCCAGGCACACAGGCAGTCACACGGTGGGTGTTCAGAGAGGGCCCATGCTGAGAGCTCAGACTTCTCCTCTCAGTGGCAGAAAGGTCGCTGTTGGCTGGGCGCTCCCTGTGCTCGACACCGTTAACAGCAATACTAATTAGCAGGAAAAACAGCATCAATTAACTCCTGCCCAAGGTGAACCAACCCACTCTTGGAGCTCTGGTTCCACAACATCTGTTGTTTAAAAGCTTGGCTGCTAAACAAAGACCCTCCCACAGCCTCTCTCATCTTCTATTGGCGTAAATAACAGGGCTTCTTCTCAGCGGGAGACAATGGCATGTCTATGAAAGACAGGATTTCAATTAAATGACAGTACTGACTAAGTGCCTAAACTGGACTGACCGACACACCGACCGTCTGATACGACACCTTAAGGAAAATGTGACTGGCACACTGACTCAGAGACTGACATACTGACGGACAGTGATTGACTGACTCACTGACTGACTGAACTAACGGACTGATGCTGACTGACTCACACACATACTGATGGACAGCCTGCCTGACACAGCAACTGATTGACTCACAGACAGACTGACGGAATGACAGACTGACACTGTGACTTACTGACAGACTGACAACCTGACACAGTGACTGACTGACTCACAGACAGACTGACAGAATTACAGACTGACACTGACTTACTGACAGACTGACAACCTGACACAGTGACTGACTGACTCACAGACGGACTGACGGAATGACAGACTGACAATGTGACTCACTGAGAGAGTGACAGATTCACACTGTGACTAACTCATGGACTGACAGACTGATGCAGTGACAGACTGACACAGTGACTGACTGATGGACTGACGGACTGACTTACAAACAGACTGGCTGACAAACTAACTGATGCTGACTGACATGCCTGCTCACTATTGTCTGACTGACAGACTGATTCACATCAATTTGAAATAAAAAACTTGAGCAAAATCTGTTGTGACACAAATAGTTCTAGAAGTCACTCTGTGAGCAAGCTGAGCATGGTTGGGCAGGAATAAGGGCAGGCTGTTCTCTCAGTGGGGCTGCAGGTGATTTCCACACTAGTGGGTCAGAGACAACAAACGAGCACATGCAGCAAGTCTCCTGCAACAGGCACTGGCAGCAGGTCTCTTACAGCAGACACTGGCAGCAAGTCTCCTGCAGCAGGCACTGGCAGCAGGTCTCTTACAGCAGACACTGGCAGCAAGTCTCCTGCAACAGGCACTGGCAGCAGGTCTCTTACAGCAGACACTGGCAGCAGGTCTCCTGCAACAGGCACTGGCAATACGTCTCCCACAGTACGTGAAGGCAGCAAGGCTCCTGCAGCAGGCGCAGGCAGCAAGTCTCCTGTAGCAGACACTGGCAGCAAGTGTCCTGAAGCAGCACTGGAAGCAAGTCTCCTGCAGCAGGCACTGGCAGTAAGTCTCCCGCAGCAGGTGCAGGCAGCAAGTCTCCTGCAGTAGGCACTTGCAACAAATCTCCTGCAACAGGCACTGGCAGCAAGTCTCCTGCAGCAGGCACTGGCAGCAGGTCTCTTACAACAGACACTGGCAGCAAGTCTCCTGCAACAGGTGCAGGCAACAAGATTCCTGCAGTAGGGCCATCAGCAGGGAGGCTCAGTGAAGCCTCCCTCACAGTACCTCACAGAGAAATAAATATACAACACGCAGAACACTGCCGGCAGCCTGTAGGGCTGGACCAGTGCATGAGCAGCAAGGATACAGGCTGACTCATGCGATAGGAGCACTCTGCTGTGATACCTGGAGGGTTGTGGGCATGCTGACTGGCAGTGCACTCCAGCTGACCTCCGCAGGGCTTAAGTGAACGAATCTCCACCTTAGCTGTTCAAAATGAAATTGCTCCTTGTTTTTATGAGGTCCTGACTTAAGCATGACCTATAAAAGCCCTCTGAGATTGTGAGTCTCTCCGAGCAGGGCTGTTAACCGCCACAAAACTACACACTATCCATCCATTTTCTAACAGCTTATTCCACTTCAGGCTGGAGGGGAGCCTGGGCTTATCCCTGAAAGCAACAGGTGCAAGGCAGGGTACACCGTGGATGGGACGTCAGTGAAACACACGCGCACACTCACACCAGGGCCAATCCTCCCAGAAGCCAGTTAACCTACCAGTATGACTGTGGGAGGAAATCGGAGGACCCAGGGGAAACCGGTGTGAACACAAGGAGAACATTCAAACTGAACGCAGACAGCACCCCGGGTCCATGGTTGAACCCAGGGCGCCAGCGCTGCGAGGCGGCAATGCCAGCCACTGCGCTGCGGCGCCGCCCATGCAAAACACCATTTCCTCCAAACAGCCCGTCGTGTGCAAGACAGCCAGTGCCACTTCATAGCTCGGGTCAGTCGGGGACGGCCTGGGTCAGCCCGGGCTCGGCAGGAACCTGCTCCGCCTCTTCCATCAAGCACTCTCCCTAATCAAGGCTCCTGTACCGTAGGGTGAAACAGGCTTGGGGTGCCCCCTGACTCCGTGAGACACGCTGCCCGGGCCCTACCTGGTGGGTCTGCACCCGCTGTGTTTGCACTCACACCGGTACCAGCGTGAGCGTGTACGATTGGATTGGGCCGGGTGGTACCTGCTGCACCTCCAGGAGAATGAATGGCTCAGCGGGTAACATGCAGCCCGCTGGTTGTCATTTGTCAGTGAATGTGCAGCAGGATCCTCCTGGCTCACCGCATGTCTGATCAGACACAGACGGGCCGGTCCTGTCCAGCACCCTGTGCTGGGTGGCTGCGTTCGGCACCTGAGCTGCTGAGTTGGACAGCAGTGTGCTGCCCTGTAGCCCCGGACCTCCTGTCCTGGGCGTGCACAATGACCCGTCACAGTTTGTCTGCCAGCACGCTAATGACGCCCAGGGGAGCAGCCGCCTGTTTCTTCTTGTCCTGTATTGATTCATCTGAGCGCTCAGAACTCTCTCACACACAGCAGCACCTTCCTTCCCGCGCAAATCAGGGAGCGCGGCTGACTGACAGTGTCCCGCCTGCAATCGCCGGCGAACTAACAGAGCCGGCCAAGACCCCCCCCCCGACCCCCCTCCCCGGCAGGAGGGCGGGAGTAGGGAGGCGAAAGGAGAAAGGCATGCGGGAGGACGGGAGCGGAGGAGGAGCGGCGGGGGGAGGGGAGGGGAGGGGAACGCGAGGAGGTCCGCCGCCAGATGTTGACTACAGCGCCGCTGGCCGCTCGTGCACGAGTCCCGCCGCGGACAGGCTCAAGCCAGCGGGAGGAACTCGAGCGCCGACCCACGGGAGAACACGGCGTCAGGGTTCCACAGGACCCGCACGGCGAGAACGAGGGAGCACAAGTGAAGAGGACGGGAAAGGGTCTTTTTTTTCCCCCCAGAGCACAAAAAGCACCGCCTGTGCACGGACGCGAACACACACGGGGAGAGAGGCGCGCTGGCGAGCACAACAACCACCCCGCAGAAAGGAAACCCGAAGGCCGGACAGCACCACCAGCCCCCCCAGGTGTCAGGGGGCCCCGCGAACTCCCCTGGCCGGCCTGCTCGTTCACCAAGTGGGCGCGCACGCGAACACAGACAGCCGCGCGGCGCGAGTGTGCGCGGGGAGAGACGTCCCCACCGCCGCGATCCCGCCGAGACGCTCCCGCTCACCTGCTCGGGTCCCTGAAAGCAGATCCGGCACTGCGGCGTCCGCATCCCGCTCTCCGTGCTGCTGGACAGCGACACGCCGTCCAGGCCGGCCTGCAGCCTGCCGTCCTTCTCCTCGAAAGCCAGGCTCCGGGGGCGGGGGTCGGTGCCGTAGTACTCCTCCTCATCGTCCCGGGAAGAGCAGTCGGCGAAGGGCGGCCACCCGCAGCCCCCGACCCCGAGAGCTCGCATGCTGCTCCGCCTGTCCGCGTCTATGTCTGGCTCGGCCCGTCGAGAACCGGACCGCATCAGAACCAGGACTTTGAGCTCGTTGAAAAACATGCGGATCCGATACTTAAACATCATTTAACATGTGTGGATGAGGCCACGGGGCGAAATAAACTATGATATGGATGACGATGAAGGAAATGAGAATCCCGTGAATGCCAGCTACAGCTTTTGCAAACCCAGATTGTATATTGTGATTATTATTATGATGATTTAATCAGATGCAAGACTATGGCTGAAAGAGGAAAAGTCGATATCTAGGGGGTGGGGTGGGGGGTGGGGGCACTCTATCGAGTAAACTGGGCAAAACGCCTCAGCACGCTGACACCGCCGTGACAGCGGACTAGCGGGGCGACAGAACGCGTGGCCGCCGAGTATTATATCGACATTCCCATGTGCGGGTCTCTCCGCGAGGGCGTCTTCGCCCGGTCCCCTCCGTGCCCGGAGACACGCGGATCATCACCAATGCGGATGGAAGCCGGGGAGGCGGCGAGCCCTCCTCCTGCGTGCGGACCGGCAGCCCCGCGTGTCTCGGATGGTTTTGGGGGGGGGAGGCTGATACACCCTTATACCGAGCAGCCGTGCGCGGCCGGGGGAGCCCGCGTCCACGGCGTCAAGAGCCGCCAGTCGGAGGGATCGGAGCTGAGCGCTGGTTCAGGAAATGCGGCTCGGCGACAGATTCTCCCTCCCCCCTCTAAAGATATATTGCCTGGGTTTGCATCGGACATGCCCTGCGACTGAAAGAGAGAGAAACTGAAATGCACTTGAAAAGAAACACAAAATAGAGCCCCGCGTTATAAGCCAAAGATCCACAAAGCCATATCGGAGTGTCGCTTCCAATATCCAATATTATAATCCTCAGGGGGAGAAAAACAGCTGGGAGGCGAAATTGAATTAAACGCGATTCAAATCGTCTCTTTTTTGTTTGTCCCTCGGCACCATTCCGGTGTCTCAGATCATCTTGGATCCTTTTTTTTAAAAAAAAAAATATTCGAATGATTATTTCTGTAATTTTCGGGGTGATGTCTTCAAATCCGTCCCGCGCACTTCACCTCCGAGCCCCGCCGAGAGCGGATTCACAGTCCAACGTGTCTGCATTGTAAATCGGATCTGATACGACGGCGCAAACGAGCACAACAACACTGATCCGTTTTCCACCGCGGTTCCATCCCTCCTGTCTAGTCAGTGATCCGCGCAGCGCGGACCGCGAAGGTGCTGCGCCCCCCCTCCCACCCCCCAGAAATAAAATACAAGCCGTTCTTCTACATCAGGGGTGCATGCGAGGAGCGAGCAGCCGCAGATACGGGTTTTGTCTAATGATGACGATTAAGAAAATAACAACAGTGATACGGATGATGCTATCAAGAATACCAGCGTTCCCTTATTGAAATGGATGACTTTGAGAACGGACGAATATGGCTTCTCCTTCCGGTATGGCATGCTAAATGAAACAATCGGAGATGCCGAGAGGCAGTGCGCTGTGGTTTATCTCCTCCTGCTTTTTCCTCGGGTTCGGCGATGGTGGCTTTTTGTTGTGCGCCTCTCAGCCTCTCTGTCCTCCGGTGTGAAAGGGATCCGCGGCGCTTCTGCGCATCGGCAGACGCTGCTGTCCGGGGTGCTGATCCCGCGCTGACGTGCTGGGGGGG